CTATCTATCTATCTATCTGTCTATCTCTCTATCTATCTATCTATCTATCTATCTCTCTATCTTGTAGTTGTGTCTGTGCCCAGCAGGGGGAGCATGGTCAAGAGTTCAGAAGGAAATGAGATGGAGGAAGTAAAGAGGAAGTGGAACTAAAGAGGAAGTAAAGAGGAAGTGGAAGTACAGAGGAAGTAAAGATGGAGTGAGCAGGTGGAAGTGTGTCCCCAGGTAAGAACTGTAAAACACATGTTAGCTAACACGGTGACTCTACATGCTAACCTGGGATACGTGTATGTACTGGATTCAGTTAGCTGTTAGCGGCTAGCGGCTAGCTTTAGCGGTTAGCAGAAGCTAAGTTAAGGTGCTGACTGCTTTTCGTTAAAGTTCACTTGGCTTGTTAAAGTTAGCTGAAATAAATATAGGGTCAAACGGTTCATGATGTAAAAACAGTGCTGATAATTAAACCTCCCACATACACAATCTTTACTTTTACACTGGTGCGCAGGCTAATCCACATACACGGACCATGATTTATTTATTTACACTTTCATTAGCACATATATAGAACTTCATGTTTGAATATTTATATTGAGCTTATATATATTTCAGTGAGAACACGTATGTAGAGAAACCTCTGAATGACGTCATGCAGGAACCCTGACCCCCCTCCACAGATCACGGCTGTGATCACCTGTGATCACCTGTGATCGGCTGTGATCACCTGTGATCGGCTGTGATCACCTGTGATCAGTGTGACGCTCAGTTGAATTAAAGTGGGTGGAGTTAAAGTAGAAACTCACCGACTTGTTTTGTCCTCCGTCTCTCTTGCAATCCATTTCTTTGGTTGGTTTCTCTCTGAACGTCCCAGACTCCGTATCAGTCCCGTTGTTGTTCTTTAACTTTGGTTGCATTTAGTTTTATCTGCTCTCATCAACACTTTCACTCTGTTTCTCTCGGCTGTGACTTGTTTTATGCTTCGCTCGTTCGCAGCTGCTGAAGAAGTTTGAGATAAAACGCAGGTTTGTCGTCTCCCAGAGATTCTGTAGCTCGAGACAAGAAAACTGTTCATCACGGACGTGTTGAATTCAATATGTACTGCTGA